TTTTGAGACAGAGCCTCAAGCTATCCCCCTGGATAGAGTGCCATAGCATCACAGCTCACAGCAACCTCCACCTCCTGGGCTCAAGCGAGTCTCCTGCCTCAGCCTCCCAAGCAGCTGGGACTACAGGCACCTGCCACAACGCCTGGCCATTTTTTGGTTGCAGCCATCATTGTTGTTTGGCGGGTCCGGGCTGGGGATTTGAACCTGCCACCTTAGGTGTATGTGGCTGGCGCCTTAGCTGCTTGAGCCACAGGCGCCGCGCCAGTTCTTTAAATTCTTAACAGAATTCTTTAGTGAAACCATCAAGACCTAGAGATTTTTTTGATGAGGGTAGTTTTAAATATCATAAGCTTCCTTATATTTTATAGAGTTATTCACATTATCTATTTTACCTTGGATAATTTATGATAATAATTTTTGGAGGAATTCGTCCATTTCATCTAAACCGTCAGATTTATATGTGTGGAGTCTTTTGTAATATCCCTTCATTCTACTTTTGAATGAAGTCTTCTGAATCTGTAGTGATATCCTGTCTCACTCCTGATACTGGAAATTTGTGTCTACTCTTTTCTTCTTTGTCAGCCTTGCTAGAGGTGTGTCAATATTATTGATTTTTTTTCCAAGAAGGAACTCTTTGTTAATTTTTCTGTTTTCAGTTTTCAGTTTCACTGATTTTTATTGATTTCTGCTTTTTTCTTTATTGTTTTCTTCTTTCAACTTGCTTTGTTCTGCTTTTCCTATGTTCCTAAGGTGGAAGTTTCCATTATTGATTTGAGATGTTCCTTCATTTGTAATGTATGTATTTAGTATTATAGCTTTCCCTCTCAATACTATTTGAGTTGTGTCTAACAAATGTTGATATTTTTTATACGATTTTTATTCAGTTCTGTGTCCTTTTTTGTTTTCCCTCAAGAATTTTTTTTTTTTTTTTCTGATGCATGGGTTATTTTTCCTGCCTTCTTGTGGCTTACTTGAACATCTTCAAATTTCATTTTGACTTATCTATGTTTTTGAGTGTATCACTGTGAATAGCGTGTTTAGTGGTTGCTCTGAGGTGGTATCATTCTACCAGTCCAAGTGGAATACAGAAGCTTCACTTCACTTCACACCCCTTTATCTTCCATCATTTGTAGTATATTTGTCTTAAATACTACCTCAGACAATGTTACAATTTCTCTTTCAACAGTAAAACATAATTAAGAAAACTCAAGAGGAGAAGGAAAGCCTAGCAGCTTTGCTTGTGTTCTTCCCTCCCTGGTGTTGGGCTGTTTCTTCTCTTATCACTTCCCCCATGTTTACCAAAGTGCCTTTGCCTTTCTTTTAGACTAGCCCGATAATAATGAACACCTTGTTTTGTTTCATCTAAAAATGTCTTTACTTCTCCTTTATTCCTGAAAGATATCTTTACTGGCTGTAGAATTTTGGGTTGACAGTTTCCTTTCAGCACCTAAAAAATATTTTGCGACTTCCTCTGGGCATCATTGTTCCTGATGTTAAATAGGATTTCATTCTGATTGTTTTACCTCAGTAGGAGACATGCTGGGTTTTGGTTTTGTTTTTTCCTCCAACTGCTTTTTAGATTTTTCTTTGTCCTCCATCTTCAGAAGTTTAATTATGGCTTGGATTTCTTTGGGTTTATCATGTTTGGAGTCAGCTACTTAAATGTCTACATTTATGATTTTTTGCCACATTAGGGAAGTATTTAGCCATTATTTTTCAGGTATTATTTCAACCCAGCCTACTTTCTCTTCCCTCTCTAGGATTCCAGTGACACAATGTTAGATGTCATCTTCCACACATCCCTGAGGCTCTGTTCTTTTTCTTTTTTCAATTATTTCCTTCAGTTATTCAGATTAAGAGTAATTTCTATTACTTTCTTCCAGTCCCTATGTTCCCTCCATTCTGCTACTGAACCCATTACCTACTGAGTTTTGTTTTGTTTATTGTATTTGTCATTTAAATTTTTCCATTCCATTCTTTACATCTTCTGTTTCTTTGCTGAAACTACTTTCTTTTTTATTTCAAGCATTTTTCTTATTGTTTGTTAAACTTTTCCTTTTTTTTTTCCTTCAAATTATGGCTGCTTTTAATTCTTTGTGGGAAGATTCTGATATCCCTGTCTTCTCAGTGTTTGCATATTGGTAATCTTTTTACATTTTATTTGAAGTTTTCAGGTTCTCAATATGACAAGTGATTTAAGATTGAAGCTTAGACATTTTCTTATTATTCTTTGAGATACTTTATCTCATTTAAATCTTCTGTTTTAGTTGACTGACTTTAACATTGCTTTATGTGGGGAAAGGCGACAGGGGACACTGCTTCATTATTGCCAGTTGGAGGTAGAAACCTAGGTTCTCTACTTGGCTTCTTTGAAACCCAGTGAGTACAGGCTCCTCTTCACGGTTTGATGGAGATGGTAGTTCCAGATTTCCATGTGGTGTGCACTGGTGAGGGTGGTTATTGCTATTGGTTAATGGCACAAGTGCTATCTCTACATTAGATCTCTTCTGAGAGTACCCCAGCGGGGAGGGAGTGGCATGCCTCATTACTGTCCAGTGTGGGTGAACATCCAAGCTGTCACCTCCAACTCCACGTAGGTGGGGCACCTTGCTACTTGCCAATAGAGAGGCAAGTCCTGGCTCCCTACTTGGCCTTCTCTGATAACACCCCAGCAAGGGTGTTGGGGCATCTCGTAAGCGTGCTCCCTACTTATCATCTGCTGGTATAGGTGTGGAGGAACATAGTTTTTCTGTTATATTTGGCTGGAATATAGTAGTTGTTGTCTAAAAATTTTCTGTCTTTCTGGGCTACCCATTTTTGGTCCTTTGGATGGAGAGAGCAGACTTTTGTTGGGGCTTTTTTTTTTTTTAAGTGTGCATTTGATGGGGTTGCTGGCCTCTGTGCTTCCATGTGTGCGCGAGCTATATGAGTATGTGAAACAAAAAGAGCTCATCAGTTTGTTGTTTCCTAGGTCCTGAGGGTCTTAGTCAATGTGTTTTCTCTCCTCTTTTCAGCAGTCTTCTTGTGTTTGTTTGAAATATCGGGTCCAGAATTCTTTAGGTGGCCTTAATGACAGAAATAGGGAAAAGTATGTCTATAGTGGGAAATTTGAGATAACATCAGATCTCTATGCTTTGGCTGAATTCAGTTGCTTAATTTTAACAATCTTAAAGGAAATCTTTATAGCAAGACTTTTGTATAGTCTTCTGTAAACTACTGGGATTAGTTTGTATTTGTAAGGATAGAAATCAACCTATTATAGTAACTCATTTTAACAAGTAAGTGAGATTATTACAGCTCTGATTATAGGAAAAAATAAGTACATTTAAGTATACTTCAAATACTTAACAATCTTAGTATTTTTGTTTGGTTTATTTTTCTTTATTTTTTTTTTTTTTTTTTTTTTTGTAACTTAGTCTGAGCTGCACTCTGTAGCCTAGGCTAGAGTGCCATGGCATCAGCCTAGCTCCCAGCAACCTTATACTCAGGTGATCCCCCGGCCTCAGGTTCCTGGATATCTGGGACGACAGGTACTCACCACAATGCCCAGATGATTTTTTTGTTTTTAGTAAAGATGGAGTCTCACTTTGCTCAGACTGATCTCAAACTCCTGAGCTCAAGGGATCCTCCTGCCTCTGCCACCCAGAGTGCTAGGATTACAGGTGTGAGCCACCATGCCCACCCCAATAGTAGTTTTTTTTTTATACAACCCTTATATTATTGTGTTTTTTTACAATGAAATTATAGATAACAAAATTATATAGCCACAAAATCTAAAATGTTCTTCAAAATTAAATCACATTTATCAATGACTATACATTACATTACTATACTATACAAATTGTTTAAGTAAAATATATGTTTTAATTAATTTATTAAATATTTATAAAAATATATTGTGAGTCAGACATTGTGCTAGAGATAAAATGATGTGAGAAATATACACAGGTCTTGCTTGAATCAAACTTAAAGTAGTGTTCTCCTGCGCTAAAACAACAAAATAATAAATGAAATTGAATCTTCTATGAAAGCATTTTATATATTTTTATGACTAAAGCTGTTCAGTAAAATTAGAATATTATCTTTTGTGTATGTTACTCCTACTACTATATGCAAAAACCTTACTGCTCAGGCACTAAGATTTATCATCCGTGTTTATTGAAATTAAATTGAAAACAAAAATTATATCATGAAATGTTTCATTAGATGTACAATGGACATATTTTAGTTGTTTCTGAAATATCTTGTAGATTTTTAATATTGGTTTAGCTTATAAAAGACAGTTTTACCCAATGATGGCCATGGTTGTTAATGGTTTACATTAGTGGAAAGCTGTAAAATCATCCAAGGACTCTGTTAGCATTAGAATAATAATTTACCAAGACAATTACCACATACTGGAATTTTTTGCAGCTCTAATTCAGTATTATTAATAATGGATAAAATTGCACTTTTCTCAGGTTGCTGTGGGCAACAGGGAATTATTTCAATGAATATTTCAACACATTATTTTAATCATTGTTCCACCAAATCCAAGTGGGCAATATTTTATACTTCTTAATTCAGTCTACTAAGAAACCAGGGTCATTAAATTGCAAACTATTTGTAGTGAGGTCTATCCTGTGATTTACAAGGCTTGTTAAAAACAGTGTAAAAGAAAGCAAACTGTGCCATTAATGCTTGTAATTTGATGCTGCATTTATTACTAAATTCCCCATGATTAATGTCTTCGTAAAAGGAAGAACATTGTAAAAAAAATTATTTAAGGGCAGAGGTAAGTGTTAGAATGCCTAAAATATAAGAATGTTACTGTTTTAAGTTTTATTCATTTGTAGAAGAAACATACAAAAAAAAGACCCATAACTTATAAATATCTCAACAATCATTTAATTTTCTACTGAGACCAAAGAAATAAAGCGTCAGTTCTATGGAAAAAATGTATTTCTAGTTATGCACTGTTACTAATAGGAATTATTCTTTTTTTATTTTGCCATTCTTAGCCAATTACATGATTTCTGGCGTTTGGATTACTGGGAAGATGATCTTCGTCGAAGGAGACGATTTGTGCGCAATGCATTTGGCTCAACTCATGCTGAAGCGTTGCTCAAAGCTGCAATAGAATATGGTTAGTGTCAAAATTTTTACCCCCAAATACTTCTGGATGTGAAGTGACTCCTTGTGGTTGAGAATTTATATTTTTCACTGTTATTTAATGTTCTCCACTTCATAAAACAAATGTATTCTTGTTTCATCCTTCAGCATCATTTAGGTTAATCAATGCAATATGTCTCACACTAGATATATTTTCAACCCTTCAACTTCTTTTTAAGAGATTGAAAGACTCTACATAATTGATTATTAACCAGCGTCCCTTTCATATAGCCTAGAACAAGAATACAATCAATTTCTTTTTCAGTGTCTTTCAGATTTTGGTAATCAAGACCCATGGTAAAAAAAAATATATATATATAAATATATATATATATTACATTATGATCTTATACTCAAACTTGCATATTTTTATGTATAACATATATTTTTATTATAAACATATGTATACTTTGTGAGTATACATATACACACGTATGTATAATGTTTGTATATATTTGTACATACATATACATACTTGCATATACAACTGAAACATATGTTTTATTAGTAACCTCTTTACAGGACATTTTAAGTCTTTTAATCCCCTTTCTTCTTCTCATTTAATAAAATGAGATGAAATAAGTAAATAAAATAAAATAAAAAATCCTGTTACACTCTGTCAATTTAAATTCCCAGTCCTCCAAATTAAGTTTGGAAAAGATCTTCCACCATTCACAATATCATCAGCTGTCACACTACAGTAGGACTATATCTTCTATTGTCCTTTATAAAATTTATAATAAATGGTGAATATCAAAATATTGTTGTACTTTCATAAAATGTGGCCACTTGTCCATTAAGAAGTATGCTTAGGAATATTTGGAAGATTTGTCCATTTTTAAATGCTCTAACAGGTTAAATATATCAGAATTTTATAAACCACATGCACTGAGGAAATAGCGATCATGAGCACCATTTATATATTTTTGTTATTACCCACTTTTATTCTCTCAATTACTTGTTTTGTTATACTAATTTTCATTTATTTGGGAGTAATAAGTGAGCCATCTTTTCTAAAATTCACCATAGTTGGTAAATAGCTTATATTATGCTATAGTTAATATCATATTACACCATTCATGTTCTTACTGAATTGAACAGGGAAAATGCTTAATCTTAATAAAAAGACAAAATGTGTGAAGCTTTAGAAATTTGTTGTCCTAGTAACCTCTTAATTGCAGTAACTTAATCAAGATATCATTAAATAAATACATGAAGACTCCCTCTGAAGCTGTTGTACCCAGGATAAAAGTTACCAGGTAGATTTATACAGTAAAGTAACTATGGAAAAAACTGTACTGGGAAAAATTATGGTTGGCCTCACTATAGGCCAGTTTCTATAATCAAATCAAAGGATCACCTAAGGATTTTAGCACCCCAAAGATTTGCTAACAAGTTAAAATGAGTTTTTATCTTTATGATCCTACAAGAGCGAGATTGGTAGAAGTATCTGCCTACTTAGTAAGTAGTAGCATGCTTTATAATATGAATGTATATATTAAAACTTCATTTAATATATGCCATAATTTAGACTTTTTTATCCTGAATCATCTCATTTCAAATTAGAAACATCTGCAGAGAATTTGTGACAGAGGTTAGGCTACAGTCATGTCATTGGTGATACTGAATTGCCAAAGTTTTAAAGATATAGGCTTCATTATACTATATTCTACATTTTACAGGTTACTTTAAAAAAACATTTTATTAGAAAACTGTTTCTTGGGGGCAGCTCTTGTGGCTGAAAGGAGTAGGACGCTGGTTCCATATGCCGGAGGTGGTAGGTTCAAACCCAGCCCTGGCCAAATACTGCAAAAAAAAAGAAAAAAAAAGAAAAAGAAAACTGTTTCTTTTGTTTCTTCTTAAAGGTGAATAATTTTTGTGTTGAATGTGTAAAATATTTCTGTTAGTAAACCAGTGTCAAAGCCTATCAAAAATAAATTTTAAAATCTTAAACCCTAAAATTTTTGGAAACTGATAGATACCTTTTAGTAACAGTAACTGTTATTAATGACCTACACTAAAAGATGATACTCTCATTTTGAAATAGATCAGAAGCATAATTTGCTATTTGCTATGTGTAGTATACGTATATTTTTAAATATTTATGGATTTTCAATGGTGGATATTAGCATTATTCAGAATTTTTTATCTCTCTTGAGTTAGGTTCTTTTCTAAAAGGAAAGAGGAGTATGTTTTTATTTTAAACATACTAAGAACTCAGACCACACCTATGCCATAAAATATTCAAATCATCTATATGATGCCTATGTTGGGGTGAATCCATGGCCATTTTCAAAGTTAAAATCATGGAGTGGCAAACAAAAGAAAACTAAAGCAATTCTAGCTCCAAAAGCAATTCTCTCTAACCTTCAGCGTAGTTCCTTCCATGGACTTTTGCGACTGGGGAGTGAGTTGGGAATAAAATATGGAGAATATAGAGAGGGGGTATGGGAAGTGCTCTCTGGACTAATCTATACATAGGAATAGAGGGAGGGATTACAAACTGTTAAAAGAAAAATGTAGTATCATGCCTTCTTCCTGCTTCTTAATGTGCTCTGTGATGTATGTGGAATATTCCTGCAGAGGAAATAGGACATAAACGATAAGGCAGTGGGAGCGCTTCAGGTCAGGAATTTGAGACCAGCCTGGATAACATAGCAAGACTCTCCTCTCTTAGACGTTTTTGTAAATTTAGCTGGAGTGGTGGTATGCATCTGGGGGTGGGGCCGAAAGCAGGAGTTGGAGGCTGCAGTGAGCTGTGATCACCCCCACCACACTCCAGACTGAGCAACAGAGAGAGACTCTCTCTAACACAAGGAAGGGAGGGAGCAAGTTAGGAGACAGGAAAGAAAAGAAACAGTTAAGCATTTAAAGAAAAGTAAATTTCAGTAATTATTACATAGCACTTCATCAGTAAAAATAGATGTTGGAAAGCTTAATTTAAAACAGATTTTGTATACAGAATGGCCACAAACTTCATGTGCAATTTAAAATAGTTTGCACATGAACTTTATGGCCACCTGGTATTTAAAAGAAAGATGTTGTATTCACAGATTGCCAGGATATCCATATAAAAGTTAAGGAAAATAAGAAAACAGCACATTATCTGAACACTCTTCCATTAAACACTGAAATCTATTTAAGTATTATGTATTCTGGCAGTGTGCAGAATACACATGACTGAATGTTTTGGAGTTGTGTAGGCATAGATTAAGAATTTGCACAGGCTTGCAAATTCTGAGTGAGCTTTTAGGATATTAATAATAATTGAAATCAAAATTACTCCATCCTTGATGCTAGGTACAATATTCCAATTTCCCTACTGTTAAATTCCATCTTGAAAGTTAAACATTAAATGTATAGAATCTCTGAAAACAAAATTGATCAAAAAATGTTTGTATTCACATACATAGTAGCAACAAAGTATGTTTTAGGAACAAAAGAATATTTTATCAAAGGAATTTTTAATATAGCTAGAAGTATTTGAATCAATAATCAAAATTCTCAGATTTTTAGACATGTATATGCCAGGAAATCATTTTAAATTACTCAAAAAGGGAATATTTACATGGCCATCAAAACAAACCTTGGAGGTTGAATCACTGGTTGAGTCTCACCTAATGTAGTGGACTGTGTTTCAACAACTTGACTCTGTATTAGTGTAACATGAATAAAACTGATACAGCAGATTTCATGTTTATGAAAATATTTTGAGTCCCTTGATTTTTCCTGATATCCCAAAGTCAGCCAAACATTTTAAATTAAATTATGTTTAAACTTTTCATGTGATAGTAAAGAACATTTAGCCAGAAATATTCTTTGGATTTCATGACATTATTTTCAGACAATTTATTTGGAGCCTAAAATAGAGTATAACAATGTTTTGGGGTTTTTTTAACAAGCAAACAATCAGAATTGGATATAATTTCAAGGAAACAAAGGGCAATAATTTTATTTCATATTTACTTTGAAAAGCTTTTGCTTCAATTTCATTATTAAAACTTGGTTGACCTTTTTCGGTTGGACAATATCCTTTACACTGATGGAGTTTTTCATGCTTTTTAGTAATACTAATGAGTTGAATAATTTATGAGGTTGTCATGTGCAAAAGATTTTGTGTGATCTGATATACTTTCAGCCTCTGGTTGTGGGAATGTGATTAATAAAAACCTAGAGGCATGTAATTTTTTCCCTGATGTTTAATGTTCCAATTTCACATGTATTCAGTGTGTTATTTAGGTGTGTTCTAATAGTAAAATTTCATCCAAGTACAAATTTAATTGATTTCCAGAAATTTTACAGACCCTAGCAAGGGAAGAATATAAGGAAAATATTTGAGAACTCATAAACTCATGTTCTGTCCTCCATGGTTTTCTTCTTTAGGGCAAATTAGCTAACAGGGAAATGACTGAAAGGAGGATTTTGTATATTGCTCATATAATAGAACAAAACCTAGACTAGTCAACTCTGGTACACTTTTGATGATTATGATGGTCAAAGAATAGTATGAAATCTTAATAAATTTGGTTATCTTTGTTGACTATCAGAGATCACTTAGGGCCTCTGTTTCCCTTCCATAAAATTACAGTGGAACAATGTTTCATCAAAACCCAGGATCTCAAGTGCCTCCATGTCTGTGATCAAAGACATGATCTTAAATAGGTCTGATCAGGCATCACAGCAGAGGGCAGTCTGCTACAGCCTGAGGAAAAAAAAACAAGGAGCAAAGATGACAAAGTTAATCAGTCATTTCTTCGACAATAAATAATAGGATATGCTGAGAACTGCAAATGAGAGCATGCTTAGGTTCCTCAGAGATGTGTCTGCTTAACACCTGATTTATCTAAGCTTGGGAAGCCATCAAGATATGACCTTGATGAATAAAAAGCAGCTCTGTAATGAATCTGGAATTAAATTAGTTTTGATGGAATGTGCATGGCTACTGTAATGTGCTAGTTGCAGTCATCAAGAAAT